TAATTTTTCAACCAATGTAAAGATACATTTACACTATCAAATGTAAGATGTACTATTTTTTGTAAAGTCACACAATGTATACATTTCCACTATAAACTATGTAATTTTTTTACGAAGTAACCTAAACTGACTCTTTCTTTCTATTGAAGCGGATGGCCTCAGAGCGCGTTTCAGTAGTATAGTTTAGTGGTATTACTACGCCAAGTTCCGAAGAACCACTCGGCCGCGACGGACGCGTTTCGTGCTTTCTATTTTATATTTATATTTTTGAAAGTATTGCCGACTTCGACTGTCCATTGTATCACATTGATGTGTGCTCGCGGATGAGCTCGTCTTGATAATTCGTCGTTTTGACGACTCTTATGACACGCGTTATTGCGATGTGACGACGCCGTGGACGCAGGCGCCCGGAGAACGTTCGAGCAACGCCATTTCTTTTTCGCGGGCATTGCATCACCTACTGCTGTTCGTCGAAAGAAAGACCTACGTAGACGTACGCTTATACACTGTGACCGTACTTTTGAGGAACGACACAACTTCGTCACTTCATCCGCTGCTCTTTTTACGCGATAGCTCAAAAGATGGACGCAATAATGTAATTAGCAAAAGTGCGGTTCTTCCTTAAATTTTATATGCTACGATATTCGAGCCGTACTAATTTTCGTTGGGCGCTAGGCACGAGAGAGCGTGCCACTCTTCGCACTAAATATTAAGATGTTACGCTCGGACAAAGAAATTACAGAGCAACGGAATTCGCGACGGACAGGCTCAGCTAGCTCAGCCAACGAAATTGGCAGAGGGGGTGGTTCGCGATGAGCGGGGAACAATGTCGGAGAACGAGGTAGAGGCAGACAGAAATAATCAGACAGCAATTAATATTAACAATGACAAAGAGTTTCCTATTTATTCAATACGCGTCGATACATGAGTTGACATAATCTACAGAATTCCGCGGTCGCGCGTCGACGACAAGTTTACTTTATTACAGAAGAGACGATATCAAGGTCGTCGTCGACGGTACTTAGAAATGTCCGACTCTCGGAACTTCCCGCAAACCGACAGCCTAATGCTGAGCGGTGACACGCGGCTCGACTCTAATTCTTAAACAAACCGGAATCTCAACAAGTAATACGAACGATATGACTTGGCAGTGACACGGGCGAGCGATAACGA